CCCGTCTGTTTGCGGTCGCGAGTAAGCGAAGCAAATGAAACCGCATCAAATGCAGGACGAACACGCGTCTAAGCTGGGTGCCTTCAGAGAGAGAGAGAGAACTGCATCTGCGCTGCATCTGAATTTACGACCGGGTACATAGGGGATACACAGCAGTGAGTAAAAAATGATAATTTACAATTTGCAACAGTAAAACTAAAACTAAGCTTTTTATTTTACCGGATAAGGCCCACAGAACTATATGGCTCTTTTTTCAGAAGCGACAAATGACAGCCCAACGAATTATTGGCTCATGTGGAAATTTACAGCAGCCAAAATACTCCAAACGCATGTTTCTAAATGTGGAAGGAAAAACCGGAGGACCTGGAGAGAAAAAACCACGCGACCACGGGGAGAGAGACACGCGAACTCCAAATATGAAGCAGGCGCTCAGGGCCCAGATGGAACCCACGATCTCGTGTATACCAGGTGAGGTCGTTACCATCTCGCGACTGTGGCGCCACAAGTCTGGCCCACGTGGCACCGCCTCTATCCCGTGTCCTGCTCAAGCCCGCTCACTTTTCTTAGCAGTGAAAGCCTTACAACAACAAAAACCCCGCATGGCAATCTTATACAAACATCCGTGCATCCTCCTCCTCCGGGAGGAGCTTGCGACCGACGCAGGTGCCCTGCCAGACGCACGCACACACAACCCCCAAAAAAAACAGCAACGTCCAGGGGAAGCTTAATCTTGAATGTCTCCTCCCGAGTCCCAGTGGCAGAGGAGGAAGCAGATGTTTAGCGCCTTTGCTATCCGCTACGGCGGCGCGAAGACCAGACAACGGCTCTGGATTATCAGAGGCCGCGATCTGATGAAGGAATGCGAGGCATGCTCGTCCGCCCCCTGCCTCTGTAAATCTTGTCAACCATGAACCAACCCCGTGTGTAGGGTGACCTTGCTTAAAGAGGAGGGTGGTGGGTGGAGGTGGGCGCACAACACGTCCAATGTAAAAGATAAAAGGTGCAGCCATGCAATTGCTTTCGTTGGGGTGCCACGGTGGCTGGGAGATGTTAACTACCTCGCTCGGTATACAGGAGGTCGTGGGTTCGATCCCGACCCTGATGCCTCCTGTATATTTGGAGTTTGCGTGTCTCTCTCTTATCATCATCATCACGGTGGCTAGGAGATGTTAACTACCTCGCCTGGTATACAGGAGGTCGTGGGTTCGATCCCAACCCTGACGCCTGCTGCTGTATATTGGAGTTTGCGTGTCTCTCTACCCACCCGTGGTGTCGTGGATTCTTCTCTGGAGTCTCCGGGTTTTCCCTCCACATTTAGAATGAACATTAATTTAGAGTATTTGCCTGCAATACATTTGCACGTGATAAGCCACTTCGTTGAGCTATTATTTGTGGCGAGGTCGCCTCTGAAAAAGAACTATACAGCTCAATGGGTCCTAACCTGGTAAAATAAAATAAAAATAGTTGAGTTTATAAATAGTTGACGTAGTTTTGAACTGTTTCTTTCTTCGCGTGGCTGCTGATGTAGATGGAGAGCCAACAACTTAAATTTCACATTTAGGTGGTCAGACCAGACAATCGCATGAGCAGTAGAGTTCGCGGGGTTGTGTATCGCCGTGATGTCTCCTTCGTGTTCGTGGATCCCGGGCCATTGCGTCGTTGTACGTTGAATAATTGCGCTGAATTATATTTGCTCCATCGATTAACTTAATTCGTATGATATTGATTAATACCTGCAGTCATAATGCAAACAAAAAACATAACTCTGATAATGTATGGAATGTCCTTGAAGTTGATTGGTCCACACCCGAGACAGCTTTCCTTAGAGCCTAGTCTCACATGGGTTGGACCAGATGATGCCAAAAGGCGCACAACTCAAAGACAATGCACCATCAGAGTATGAGAGCTCGGGGTAAGCATTGTCTTTGAGTTGTGCGCCTTTTGGCATCATCTGGTCCAACCCATGTGAGACTAGGCTCTAAGGAAAGCTGTCTCGGGTGTGGACCAATCAACTTCAAGGACAGTGCACATTATCAGAGTTATGTTTTTTGTTTGCATTATGACTGCAGGTATTGTAGTCTATGCAAACATGACTCCTTGTAAAAAAAGGTGTCAGTTTTGTTGCCAGATAGAAGGGTAAAAAAACAATTATTATATTTTTTACTGGCAAATGAGGTTCCAATGGTATTATTTATTTATAATGTATTCATGTTATTAATTCTTTATTTCTATTGATGAACTTTCTTTTTTATGAACATTTTTTTAATTTCATTGCTTTTGGTCATGTTGGTGACCCACGGCACAACATTGCAAATGAGACTTTGGGTTCTCAGCCGGTTTAAACAAAAATAAACTTCAACTTGAATTTGCTTGGCCAAGCCACTGCTGCCGAAAAGGCCTCCGCTCGCGGGAGCTCTACAGAGCCCCCTCTTGGAGGCTCTTTGGCCTACTCTTCCACGCTGGCCAGATGCCTCGGACGAGGTTGGAGTACCCACACGTTACCCTATTACGGAACCCGTTCATACCGCAGCGTGGGCAGAATCTGGGTGGGAAGGGAGTTAACAAACTCGTGCCGTTGTTTCAGCTGCTGCTGCGCCGGGAGATGGGATCGAACCGGCGCACTTCTGGATGGCAAGTCCATTGGTACTGTTCCGTAACGCAAAGTCAACGTTAATGAAACGTTCAACAACCGTTCATGAACGCCGATCATAATGAGCAAGCGAGACGATCTGGCTCTGTCGTCTTTGTCGTCCACGCGTTTCTGCTCGGGGCTCCCGCACGCTTCGGCAAGCATCTGAGTCAGTTTCAGTTTCATTTATGAGGTATAACCCTGTGAGCCATGCGGCCCTTGACTCGGGTGCAACCGCAACAAAAAAAACATGAACAAGAAACATCTTAAAGTGACTACACGCAACAGAAAAATCCCAGAATCCGGTCAGTCGACCCACGGCCTCCTGGGTCTGTCTGCCCCCCCCCCTCCCCCCGTGACCTCCTCCTCCTCCATGCCAGCATCGTGCCTCCGACACTTCACGCGATCGCCTTGCAAGTGCAATCTTCCCTAGCACTCAGCGGCGCGGTGGCGTCACCGCCACTATAGTGACGTCACCGCGACTATAGTGACGTCACCCCCACTATAGTGACGTCACCCCCACTATAGTGACGTCACCGCCACGATAGTGACGTCACCGCCACTATAGTGACGAACGGCGGCTATGGTTCCTGTTGTTGTTATTTGCCAAACCGGGCGAGCTTTTGAACACACCCCCCCCTTCCCCACCAGCGGTGTTCAATATTGTACCCACATGTGTCAAGTCGACTGCTGCCTCTGAATGAAGAAAGGTGGGGCTGGAGTGGGGTGGCTAAGCCTCCCACTCCATTGCCCCCCCCCCCACACACACTACGGGGCTGCCATGAACCTCACGACGACGTTTTAGAGACTCACGTGCCCCCCCCCCCGTTCCCTCTGGCCGACTTCTGGAAGGAGCGAGGCCGCCTCGCTCACTCGCCCGCTTGCCCTCTCGCGTGCACACACGGGAGAGGGGCATGCAACGTGTATTTAATCTCGTGCGCGCGATGGGGAAGCCTTGAGGGATTGCGGCGGCGAGGGCGCAGTTTGACAGTCCTCGTTCTCGGATCGCTCAACACGCCTCCCAGGGCGTGCTCGCGATTTCCGCCGCGGCGAGCTCCCGGCGCTTTGGCAAAGCCGCGGCCGCCGTGCATCCAGAGGGCGCGATCCGCTACGAGCGATTTGCGCGTCTCGCGCGCGTGAATCGTGTGGCACAACGGTCTGTTGACGGCTATACGAAACGTTTGGTTTCACTTCTATATTTGGGGGGGAGGCAGGAGTTCGCTTTTTCACTCCCATTAGGAACCGCGGGTGAATATAATACATTTCCGTTTAATATTAATTGCAAACTACTGAGAATACATTAATAAAGGTGTCCAGTTTGGGGGGGGGGCGGTCGGCTTTGCATCCCCGTGCCCCCCTCCCCCGCCCATGTTGGTGGCCACGCACACGTGACCTGTAACCCAGCCCCGTGTGCAGAAGCAGCAGCAGGCGAGGCTTGGTGGATTTTGCACAAATGTCGCATCGAGGAGGAGGAGGTGCAAGGTCCCCGGCGCTCGCCAGAAGAGGGCGGCACAGCAAAAAAATGTGGCCTCCACCTGTTCCGCCTGCGTGGAATTCGCGTGTTTGAACCTCGCGCGCTTGAACCTCGCGCGCGCGCGGTTTTCTAAGGGTGCTCTGATTGCCTGCCCGGCGCCGGCTCGTCGCGTGGCTGCCTTGCGTGGTTCCTCGCGGGTTGTTCGCTCTCCGCGAGGGCGAGTTTATACTGGGCGGCGGCAGCGGTCACAAGTTGACGTGATTGTTCGAGACAGAGAGAGAGAGCGAGAGAGCGAGAACCAGACAGGCGAAATTTCTCGGAGCGCGTGGACAGCTTCAATAGCAGGCCAGGCTGGAAACACATTTACCAAACACACACACACATTTCATCCATAATACAGGTTTTTTGGGGTTATTTCACACCACCAGACCACTTTCACCCCTCCCGGCACCAGCTCCCATTTCACTCATCAACAGACGCCGATCGCGACGCCGCAGTGGCCCGTGCATCGCGGACGTCCGACCGCGTGCGTTTTTGCGCCCTCGTGATTCGCTGCTCTCCGATGAGCGATCCCGGGGGTTGCGCTGAACCCTGTCCGAGCCACGCGCCATTGCCGAACCCCTGTTCATTTCCCGACGAAGCGAGAGGGCACTTGGAACGAAAACGTCGCCGATTATTACCTACCATCTCCCCGTGAAGGCCACACACACAGCGTTGCCGACGGACGCGTTGAGTTTGTGTTTTTTATCTTTCTTTCCCCATCGCCGCTTTCTGCCGGCGTTTCTGCGTTTGTCCTCGCCGATAAAAAAAAATAGAAAGGCAAAGTAGAAATAACGACGGATCCCGTCAAGGTGAACTGCTCCGGGCACGGGGCAGGGGTGGGGGGGCGGCACTCACCGAGGTGAAGGTGCTGAGGGTGGCGGCCGCCGTGCCCGCTCTGGCGGCCCGAGCCTCGATCTGCTCGATCTGCTCGCGCTTCTGCAGCCCGGCCAGGTGCCTCTCCAGCGCCTCCCAGTCCATGGTGGGCGGCCCGGCCGACAGTGACTCATCCTCCTCCTCCTCATCGTCATCATCATCCTGGTCGTCGTCTCGAGCGAGCCCCTGCCATGCCCGCTCCCCCGGGCCGCCCTCCTTCACGGCCGCCACCGAGGCCTCGCTCCTTCCCGAGCGGACGCCACCGCCGCTGCTGCCGCCGCTGCCGCCATCGCCCTCCTCGCTCGTCGTGGCCATGGAGGTCGGAGGGGACGGGGAGAGCGAGGGAGACGGCGAGGGGACGATCGTCCGCGGCCGCGGCGGCGCTGGTGGAGCGGCGACCGTTCCCGGCGCGCGGCCCGGCCTGCGTGCGGCCCAGCTGCAGGTCGTCGTCGTCATCGTCGTCGTCGTCGTTGGCCGGACGCGACAGCTCGGTCGGCGTCGCCGCGCCGCGCGACGTTGAGCCCCCCTGGAAAAACGAGGCCTGGCGCCACTCCCCGAAGACGCTCCGCTGGAACCGGCGCGCGACCTCCAGGCCCCCGCCACGCCGGTCGTCGTCGTCGTCGTCTTCGTCGTCCTCCTCCTCCTCGTCGTCGTCGTCGTCATCGTCGTCATCGTCCAGGTCGGCCAGCGTCTCGAGGTCGAGGCTGGGCGAGGACTTGCAGTCGGAGCACGGAGTCACTTTGCTGGAGCCGGACTCGGAGGTGGAGCGGCTGCAGGGGTCGCTGCCGAGGTCCATGCCATCCTCGCCGGAGTCCTGCACGAGCGAGACACAGACAAAGATCCCCCGTGTAGCCTTAACAGACTTTTGGGGCAAGTGCTGTTGTTAGCGGGCACCTACGAAGGTCGGCACGGCACACGAGGGGGTGGGTGGCCAGCACCACGCCCAGTCGCCTTTGTCTCCCTAGTGGCGATGGTTCCACACCGCACCAGGTACTCATTGGAAGCTGAGTCGACCTAGGGGAGGCCCAGGACCGGTTCATATCATCGTCACTGGCGTTGCCCGTAGCGGGAATCGAACTCGGGTTACTGGGTTCGTAGCTAACCACGACTCTGTCGTTCGTGCACGCATGCACCATCACTGACATCGCCAACGAGCAATCATCAATGTCATCCCTGGCTTCATCGATATAAACATCATCATCATCATTACCACTGTCAAAGTCTTCGTGTGCATCACCATTGTCACAATTGATATCATAATCATTATCGCCACTCTCATCAATATCACCATCACCAACAATATCATCATCACTGCTATGAACATCGCCATCATCATCACCACCGTTGCCATCAGTGTCAGAATTGCAGCCTTCACAAGCATCACCATTATTACTATTAACATCATAACTGTTGTTACAGCTTTCACCAAAATCATAGCTTATCATGGTCACCACAATTATCATCATCGCCAGCATCATCATCCAGTTCTGGCACAAATCAATATCTATTCACCGCGTGCTATGCATCCAAATCGCAAGGAATGTTACGCCGAGGAATGTTTGAGCAAAGGCGATGGGTGCAATAATTAAACACAGCGCAAACAGAAGCTGCAGGAACAAACATTTTTTTTCTCCAAGCTCAAAGCAACAAGCTCAGCCAATATTTACATTGGCAAGAGAATGGCACTCAAACATTCATGAACTTTTCTTAAATGCCTCCCCCCCCCTCATTAGACGACAAAGATCAAGTGTGATCATCGCTGTTTATTATTACAAGATAGGCCAATTTGTATTCGGCATCATAACTAAAAGTCTAACAGAGCAATTGCAAAGGAAGCCGGGGGGTATTTGGGCAAAGTGCCAACATTCGATTGGCCTGCATGAGTCATGGTGCCTCTTAGTCCAGCTACTATTATTTAATCAACAAAAAATTAACCCGTAAAAACAAAGTATTTCACTATAAATCCTTTATATGCGTGGCTTGAGATGGCTGCCACCTATGGGTCAGATGATTGTCTGCCACCATTAAGCAATTGCTAATTAAATATTTTAAAAAAATTCCCTAAAAAGTGTAAAATTTTTGAAAAAACATTTTCACGAAAATTTATTGTCACGCACAACGAGACTGTGTGGAAAATGTCAGCTCGATTGGATCACGGGAAGTGGGTTAAAAAACGACCGAAAGATTTGCACGGTCGTAAGCAAGCAAGCACGCAAGCAAGCAAGTGAACTTAATATAAAGGATTAAAAATGGCAGCAGGTTGCCTAACATCTCTCTAAGACCGAGATGCCAAAGTTGCCGACGATCTCTAAGGAGCGTGAAACCCGCTGTAATTCTCTTGGAAACAATTTCCAATTAAAGTTGAAAGCGTCTATATGTCTCGACAACTCTCGTGAAAGATACTCCACAGCGAAACCGCGCTGCCAATATATAAAGTTGCATTGCCATTAGGGACCTAATCGACTGGAAAGCGGCCAAACTTATCAAAGGATTACCCACAGACTAGCGGAGAGCTTCGCGAGTTCAAATATCTGTAGGATTCCATATTTTACTTTTATTAAATATTTTACTTTAATTAATTAAAAAATTTTAACCTACGTGACTTTACCGAAAAAACCTAAGAATATGAATAAGGATCCCAAAACTTGTGAAAGCCGCGCGCGCACAGAGGCTGTGAAAGTTGTGACTCCTCTTTAACGCACCGGCAGCGCGTCGCCAAACATTAACAAGTAAACCCGTAAAAACAAAGTTTTTCACTATAAATCCTTTATATGCGTGGCGGCTAGAGTCCTCTCGTCCTCTGGCTTGAGATGGCTGCCACCTATGGGTCAGATGATTGTCTGCCACCATTAAGCAATTGGTAATTAAATATTTAATTTGTTTTCCCTAAGCAGTGTAAAATTTTGGGAATTTTTTTTCACGAACATTAATTGTCTCGCACAACGAGTCTGTGTGGAAAATGTCAGCTCGATTGGATCACGGGAAGTGGGTTAAAAAACGACCGAAGGATTTGCACGGTCGTAAGCAAGCAAGCAAGCACGCAAGCAAGCAAGCACGCAAGCAAGCAAGCAAGCGAACTTAATATAAAGGATTTAAAAAAAACGTGAGCGGACAACAGCACGACACGAGCCCCCGCGCGCTTGTTGATTTGGGGGAGGAGCCCATTACACTTTGCGAACGAGTTAAAGACCCCTAACCCCCTCCTAATCCTCCTCCCCATCTACACCAGAAGCTCGTAAACTGAGCGGAGCGCTGTTAGCCGCTGCACTGGCACACACTTCACCACTGCAGCGTTCCGAGTGTCCGTTGCAAATGCAATTCTCTTAGACATTTTGGGTGATTTAAGTGGCTGTTTTAGTTTTTTTTGTACCCCCCCGCCCGCACCCCCAAATTATTTTATATTGTTTAAAAATATATATTGATGGCGTACGTAAAAAAATGGTCGTGTGTGTGTGTGTATATATATGAACAGCATTGTAGACTTTAAATGAGCGAAAATGTAGACGTTACTGAAATGGCAGGGTCGTGTCAAGGAAAACGAATGTAACGGGGCATCCCGGCCTTGCATTAAGGACACAACGTACCTCGCCCTGAGATAAAGACTGCCGTGTTTCCACCACCATCACCACTGGCAGGCAAAGTTCAGTGGCCCAGTGATGGTCCTGAGACATTCCAGGTGTCAGCAGCGTAGCTTGGGTCAAAATCTCCACCCGCCTCACCCCCGTGAACCTGTTCTGCACGAACTTTGAATGTAGGCTTGGGTTGAATGAGGCTATCCCAAAGCCATGATCGGTGATTTTTTTTTGCAATTCCCTGCCATATATTGTTGTTCAGCAATTTTTTTTACTGAAGTTGAACGCGTTTATGCATACGTATGCATACTTATGCGCCGTTTTGTCTGTAATAGGAGAATGGGCCACGATAATGATCGTAAAGACAATCCAAAATTAACAAAGAATTGCCGTATAAAGTTGCGCTGCCTATCGGAGGGTTATTGCCCAAGGACGAGGGGTCACGACCGAGAGCAAATAGTGCTGTTGCCAAACACGCAAACGCCGTTTTACCAGACAGGCACCCATCGGCTGCCGTACCGCTAATGAAAGACTTTGGTGTGGAAGGAATGGGTTTGAAATTGTTACATAATCCATGCGTACACATTGCCAATCTTGTTTAACACGTTACATGGTTTGAATTAGTTGAGGGAATCCTCTGACTGTGAATGAAGTTTACATGCTGACGCCGTGACCTCAAGGCTGCTTGCAAGGTCTTACCAGGTCAAGATGCATCAGCTCCCTATTGATCAATCCAGAAGTGGATTGTTCATGGCAAATCATAACTATCAGCGATGGTTCAATACAGCGGCGCGTGCATTTATAGTCGATGATCATGATGACCTCGTGGGAGGGTTGCATCTCTGATTTCCACGCACACACAAAAAACGGCACATATCATGGAAAGAAAAAGAAATATCTCGCAGTACCAGAAAGGGAACTTATCTCCACGTTATTGCGTTGCCTTGAGTTGTGTATATTCATTACGCAAGTGGAGAAGAAAAAAAAACAACCAGCGACTTTTCACGTCCAGGCAAGACGTATTTCCCGTGACAGATGCTTCAAAAGGAGAACAATCAGGACAGGTGTTGGTTACTCTGCTGCCCACTGACTGTGTGCGTGTGTGCTCTGTACAAGACTGTAACTGCTTGGCCCCCCTGTTGTCAGACTCGTGGCAGTGCCTCTGCTGCTGCTGTTGTTGCTGCTGCTGCTGTTGTTGCTGCTGCTGCTGTTGTTGTTGCTGCTGCTGCTGCGGGCTCACGCGACATGCGCGCTGCGTGCGTCCGCGTCTCTCCGACTGTTAAAACCCCAGCGCCGTGCCACTGCAAAGACGACAGCCTCCTCATCCCTGCCCCCCCCCCATTACCCACGAGATTCTTGCATCGCTGTTCACGAGTCCCAAGCACCGAGGTCGAACGCAATGCCCCCCCCCCCAACCACCACCTTCCCCAGTCAATGCAACATGTTGTGGTGCAATTATTATTATTTTTGTTCAAGAGCTCAATATAGAAACGTGAATATAGGGGAGGTGGAGGGGGGGAGGGAAATCACCCACAAGCCACTTGCGAGCTACAATCCCGGGGCCACGTGCCCTCGGAATAAGGACCGGGCCAAAGGTGACTGGACTCACCGATCGGGGCACAGGATCATGTTTAAAGGGGGGAGTGGAGGGTGGTGGGAGGGGAGAGACAATGTAAGGAAACAGAACCGATGAATACAATCAGCAACGTACACGCTGCACCACGCTGAGCGGTTGTTGTTTTTTTTTATCATCGCTACAGAGATGCCGCTAACGCTGTGCGATGTTTTTTTCACCACAGCGACGGTGACGCGGGGGCGGATGAAGGGAGAGCGAGACGCGTGCTCATTTGTGTCCCGTGCTTACACATCAGCGGGGGTGTGAGCAAAGACCCCCCCCCCACCCCGTGTAGCCTTAACAGACTGTTGGGGCAAGTGCTGTTAGCGAGCACCTTCAGTTTAAGTTTTCATTCATTAGGTGTAGCCCTGTGAGCCATTCGGCTCTTGAATCGGGTGCAACCGCAACAAACAAACGACACAAACATGAACAAGAAAACATCTTAAAGTGACTCTGTCCAAACAGAAAATCCAGGAAAAAACTGCAAAAATATTCCAGATACCTACGAAGGCCGGAACGGCACACACGAGAGGGGCTGGGGTGGGTGACCAGCACCACGCCCTGCCCGCCTTTACCACACCAAGCAGTCTGTGATTGGCAGGAGGCGCCTGGTGGGACAGAGTGCGG